ATGTCTTGGGTATACCCTATTCGCTAGGCCCTCTAAGGCAAAGCAGAATTCGCTAACGCGGCTGACCAGGTTTCAACGCTAGTAAGCGCAGATTAGCTAGGGCTTTAACGCGCTGACCTATTCCCATCTATGCGCATTCTAGCTTTCATTGCCTCGATCACCCCATCGTACGTACCTTCACGTATCTCTCTTGGCAAAGTCTCGAATACCGTCAGCGCATTTTTTCTGAGGAAACTTTGAAATAATTGCACTCTGTTAGAGTCCCTCCACTTTTCCTTGGGGTACTTCATATCAAAGGAGTTCACAAATCTTTTAAAGCATTCGCCTGGCCTACCAGAAAAAGGCTGTACTTCTGGCAATGACATGGTGCGAATGTAATCACCCAGTGAAAACTCAATCGCCTCACCTGTGGCCGATGATTGTCGCATTTCGTGACATTGCTCGAAGTCTCCTCTCCGCATAGTCTCGTAACACTGCTGGTGCGATGGCGTCCAGATCCTTGAGGAGTGTCTCTGTAATGGTTGGCCAATAACATGCCGTTTTTCCATTGAATCATGTTGTCTCATTGAATTGGACTCACCCTGAGCTGCTTCGGCGCTGTTATCATGATCCATGGGGGCATTTGCCTTACGTTGCCCCAGCTCTTCCACCTCTTGGCGCAGTTGTTCGATCTGTAAATCCTTTTGAATTAGTTGCAGACGCAGCTCGTCGGAAGTCTGCCTCTCTACACTCAAGGCTGTGGATAATCCTTTGGCTCTCATACTTACTTCAGAATCATGACAGTGCAAAATTCCGCACGCCTCTTCTACTATTTTAGTCATTGCCGTATATTTTTTTATGTGCTCTTGCAGCTGACTTACGCTGCTGATTTGCACTTCCCTCAAGAGATCAAAAACGCGTTCTGCTACTCTAGGCCTACTCAGCTCGCTTATTTCGGCGAGTGTTGCCTTCGCTATTTCTTTAACGAACGCTACTTGCTCCCTAACTGACGCTGCCACACTGTCCCGTCTGGGGTCGTCAGTGCGCATCGATTTTGCTAACTCATTGTCACAAGTGACCCCTACGGTAGCCACCTGGCTGAGCAACTTATTTGATAATCTATCAAAGTCCTTCAAGAAAATCTCACTCACATTCTCGTCGAACATTTCTTCATCGTCGACCGGCGTGCGCAGTAATTCGTCTTCATTTAAGTGAGCCATTTTTGTTCTGGAAAAGTAATCTTTATTCACAGAACTTCCACCTCTGTTGAAACGCACTTCACGATGGTCACACGAGAGATACGCTTGACTTTCAAGCGTGCTACTTGTCGAAAATCACGATCAAAAAAAATCGGAGTTCGATGATCAAATGAGCGATCGAAAGGAATAAATAGGTTACAAACTGAGAGAAATCAGACCACGCTCAGAATTCCACAGTTGCTATCAATCACTCCCGACCACTAGTTCAAAGTCGAAGTCACGGCTTATCCGGAGTTCGACACCAACCTTTCTCGATCTAGGATCACGACTCACCAACTAGTCGAAATATGTCGTATCGATCCTAGTCCACCTTACAATCGAATCTATATTTTCAGACACAGGTCGAATTCACGGCGTACGCCACCGGAGTTCGACAAGAGCTTTTAACGCAATTGCAGGTTACGACTATAAGTCGCAGAACAGTAGTCGCAGTTATTGCTACTATCAATCGATTCTTTTTTATTTTTATTTCACAACCGGAGTTCGACACGCAAGTTCTCTCGATCGAAAGTCACGACTGTAACCTAGTCGGAGTTCGATCCTATCTACTATCAAATCGAATCTTTTACTCTCAATTCACCGTCGAAGTCACGGCTTACACCGGAGTTCGACTCTCAAGTTCTCCTTGATCGAAAGTCACGACTGTAACGTAGTCGGAGTTCGATCTCGATCCCACTAACTGTCCTCGCTCCTAACTCACGTCCTTGCTCCAAGTTGGCTTGGCCCCCAAGTAGCGGACCGTCCCCCTTAGTATCTCACACCGGGAGTCAACGAGGTTCTCCTCGGAAGCCGGCGGTGTCAGGATTCACTAGCGACCTGACGGGTGAGGGGTTGGATGGTCCTAGTTTCCCCTTGGAGTGGACACTAGGAGTGTTAGGAATATTTATTAGGAATAATATAGAAAACAATACAGACTCTCACACCAGAGGAGCGTGAGGTTGAGCGGGTTGATATTAGGGATGGGAGAGGTGAAAGGAAGGTGTCTCGTCACTCCAAGAGTGACGGCAGGCGGCGGCTCGGTGAAGACGACGATCGGAAGAAGAAGACCCCCACCTTACTACTTGGGTGGCTTTTATACAGGAGGGTTCCCGCCTAACGGTACGATTGTGTAGGGAGGTCACGGAGAGTCCAGGCAGACCACACTATTGGTGGTCGGCGTGGATCTACCCCGTGTGGTCATATGATAGGCCACCCAAATGCGGCCTACGGTAACGATTGCGTACTAAGAATCGCAACGCTAAGGTTTAAACGACTCTCCGAGGAGGGTTATCGACGATAAGCTATCGGACCCACTTGATAGTCTTTCATCATGCGATCGATTGTTCTGATGGATTGTAAGTATTTTAGTTTAATTCGAAAATTCACTTACAAATCAGTCATACATGGAAAATTCCAAAAAAATAATTTTTCATCCTTCCATTCTCCGTCCTTATTAAACAATAATATGGTGATTTTGTGAGAAAAGTTCGCCTCCAAAACATATTCAAATTTGAACGAATTTGAAAGTGACGGCCGAAAAAGCATTCGGCCGAATACTTTTGAGCGCTACTGTATTATTTCGTCCGAATGGGTCAGTCACGTGCGCAGAAGTTCTAGGCAGGGCGTCAACCAATTGACGGAGACGTTGAATATTGTAACTTTCATCATGATCGTCAACGCGCAAAGGTTCAGGCGAAAGCATTTACTGCGTAGAATGGTGCCTGCAAAGTGTACTTGATTACGGTAAAAAGGTAGTGCTGAGGTTTTTATGGCATTTCCGTGAGAAGTGCTGCTAGATTCTATTGCGGAAGCAATCGGCCGCAATGCATTTATAGCCAGTCGAACGGCTTGCGTTCCAGGAAATTCCCGACCTTTCCTGATATGTACAAGCGTTTTTTAGGTAGCCTATTAGCGAGAGTAATTACCAGTCAGCTCGCGGTTGTTTCAGCTGCGTACCACAGTGCACCCAGTCAGCTGACGCGTGGCTTCGTGTCGCCTTGGTTCACGTCAATAATTGAGTGATGTTGTTTAGACGCTGACTCCTTTTGCTTGGTCCCAGAATAACGTACCGGGTGTATCTTGTTTAAATAAAATTCTAAAAAAGGCTATGGAAAATAGATTTAGGACTCAATATCTTGTTTCGCGCGTGAACCGCAGGATGTTGACGTGTTCTATAAACCAAAAAGGTATCGTCTTCTGTTTAAATGACTTAAGGAGAAAGATGTAAGGACGGGAAAACACGAAAACCTCCAAGTTACTGTAGAGATCAGGTGCTATAGCTTTACGCATTGCAGTGCGATAACAACCGTCCTTAGGGTGCGCGCGTCTTCAGGGATTTCGTCAAAGCCTAGCTCTTTTCTATACTTATTCTTATCACCTACCAAAAGCAAAACATTGTCTGAAGAGTCTTGTAAACAGCTGTTATCAAACCTAAAACCATCCAAAATTTACGGGTCCACCTCGGTTTGAACACTTTTTCTCCTACAACATTTTATCAGCCCTACTTCGAGAACTTCTAGGAAATGAATAGTACTTCAGCTTTGTCATGACTTCACCGATGCCATTGTTGACCTTTCGATACCAATGCAGTATGTGTTCAAGTGCGGATGCAAAGGGGTACAATATGTCCTACAGGAGGAGAGTGCCCTGTATATGTCACAGAAATTATTCGGGAATTTTTTTCGGTGGACACATATTTTTCGACTAAGGTGTACATTTTGAGAAGATCTTGACGTCTAGTTTGCATATTAATCTAGACCTTCAGAGATCATGGGAAATTTTGCTCTAGATGTACAAGTCGATAAGGAATGTCGCTCTTTCTTTCGATTAAAACATCGCACCAGAGTTCTGTCCTTGCAAAATGTTATGAATCACTCGAAAGAGAAGTGTCTGCTCCACAAAACCATTCCGTTCCTTTCTAAATTTTGAGCAAAAAGCTAACAGGTTTGCTAGATGGGAATTTTAGCATTTTTTCTTCTTCTAGACTCGACGGAATTTCAAACAAATCGGCTTTCACTTCAGCTCTGCAATTCTTACCGCTTCCCTTCCCGTTCGGCTAACTCTATACCTCCAATCTATTTATTTGCCTTCTTTTCTTCTTCATTTCTTCCTCCCCTCACTCAAATTATTTTTTTTTCGTTTTGCTTGTAACATCCTGCTAAGATCGCTTGCATTAACTCGTTTTATTGCCTGTGTGAGATGATAACATTCTTATGTAATATAATTTTTCTGATATCTTTTAGGCCTCCAATTAACCCACTCTCTGTACCATCCTGGGTCCTCAGTTGAGGTTGGCGGACCTACTAAGCTGGTATCCGGAGTCGCGATCCCTCTCCCCGCGGCTTGCAGTGTTGGCCGGGGCACTGCCCTTCCTCTTCCTTTCGACCCATACCCCCATCCCCCCCCTCCATGCTTGCTTCATGTGTCATGTAATCATGACTCTTCTATTGTTAAGTTGCTACTCTTCTATTTATCCCTCATTGCTGATAAAGCAGGAACAACAGTATAAGGTGACGAATTGCACGGCTGCGGAACGCAAAGGCAACCCATTTCAAATTAACTCAGGGATGGTGATTGGTACACGAAAGAAGGAAGAACCATGAGAAACGGCCCAGAACCCGAGAAATGGGACCCCTTCCTTCCCCGCTGATTTGCGCATTGATGCGACTCTTATCGCTGTGCCCTCCTCAACATCACGCTCTCTCTGCTATCTAATCAATCCCACGTATAGATCTGCGGCGAGTGATCAGCTGGTCGGTGGGCGGAGATCGCCAGACCCGCCAACTTTGAGGCATAATAGGTCGCCGAGGTCAAATTTTTCGATGCGAATTGCGCATCAGTTCGCACCCTCAGGAGGTCCGTGGGTTACTCAACTAGGTGAATTACTTCTTCCTCGACCTCCATTCTAATCGTAAAATCCTCCTTTAAATTTAAATGAAATTTCCGTGTGGACTTTGTTGCATTAAAGGACGAATTCACGATGAAAAAGCAACCCATTTCAAATTAACCTAGGGATGAGTGGTACACGAAAGAAGGAAGAACCATGAGAAACGGCCCAGAACCCGAGAAATGGTACCCCTTCCTTGCCCGTTGATTCGAGCATTGATGCGACTCATCGCCTGCCCTCTTCAGCACTACGCTCTCTCAGCTATCTAATCACTCGCCACGTACGGCGAGATCAGAGATGATCGGTGGGCGGAGATCGCCGGACCCGCCAGCTTTGAGGCATAATAGGTCGCCGAGGTCAAATTTTTCCATGCGAATTGCGCGTCAGTTCGCACCCTCAGGAGGTCCGTGGGTCCCTCAACTAGGTCAGTTTCCCTTTCTTCAACCTTCATTCTAATCGATGACAAATCTCCTTCAAACCAAGTATAGATCAAACTGAATGGTTGGCATTTCTCCACTTTGCTAACCGTATGATTAAAGTTAGGAAAAAAGCTGTTCTTATTCTGTCCAATCTTTTCGATTGGAACTCTTGAGCGTTGGCCAAACACATTAGTAAGAAAGCGTCAAATATTCAAGTTCATTGAATCCTTCAAAGTTAAACGCATTCCGATTGCCATCGAGGAATTTTCCCACTGAGGACATTATACGAAGCAGGAAAAATCGTTAGTCGCTGGGAAAGCTGTAGCCAAAGCTTAATATACAGGACGTAGTAGCTCAGAGTAAAAATTATTATTATATCGGGTTGGTGAGTCATTTCTGAAGGCGAGCGGCTCGAGACCGTTGTTAACAGAAGTGTGGAGTGATGAAAAATTAGAAACATCATAACCAAAAGCGCATGAGGTTTCGTGCGTTACTGCATCTGACCGATACAATAAGTGCTGCGCCAATCTACTAAACTCGTAGGAGGATGAAGACATGATAAACCTTTGGGGACGCAGATCATGTGGCGGAAAGCTGCTTTCCTTACATATTGAACCACCCTGGTCCCTGATCCGCAACAGAAAACTTTCGCCCTATCTTGCGAAGGCACTAGTGGT